GAGAGAGAGAGAGAGAGAGAGAGAGAGAGAGAGAGAGAGAGAGAGAGAGAGAGAGAGAGCGCTTTATTACTCTGGTATCACCTTACTTTGAGAGAAGATCGCGTTTTTGTCATACTCTGGGCCTAAGACGTTCCACCCAGGCAGCAGGCAGCAGGCAGCAGGATCATGTGACAGCAAGGGCTCCCTTGGCAGCAGGTCGGAAAGCAGAGAAAGCCAGAACTCAAGAAAATTGTCCTCTGATCTCCACACCTACATCTATGCATACCTTCATGCATGTATACATACATGTGCAAGCATACACACCCCATACCACACATAATAATAAATTGTTCCTGTGAGGCCTTCGTTCTGCGTTTTTAAATTTCGAACTTCACTAAACCAATGGATGAAATTCTAGATACATATGTCCTACAAAAAATAGTCTCCAAATGGAAACATAAAAAAGACCCAGAATAACCCAAATAATAATAAACAATAAAAACACTGCTGGACAACAGCATCCCTGATTTCAAGTTATACTACAGAGTTACAGTAATAAAAACAACACAGTACTAGAGTATAAATAGACACACTGATCAATAGACTATAATTGAGGACCCAGACATAAGCCTGCACTCATACAGCCCCCTGAATTTTGACAATACATTGGAGAAAAGACAATATCTTCGATAAATGCTGCATGAGACCTGATATCCAGTATAGTAACACACTTGGACTTATAGACTCGGGGAAGGACTATCTAAACAGAACTCTGATAGTACATATTTAAGACCAACAATTGTCAAATGGGACCTCATGAAACTAAGCCTTCTGTACAGCAAAGGACAACCATCATTTGAGTGGAGCGGTAGCCTACAGAATGGGAAAAAAATCTTTATTGGCTATACAGCTGAAAGAGGGCTGTTTTTTGGAACATAGAACAAACTCAAAAACAAAGAAAAGGAAAGAAGGAAGGAAGGAAGGAAGGAAGGAAGGAAGGAAGGAAGGAAGGCAGGCTAAACACACAAAAAAAAACTTAATTAAAAACTGGAACATGCTTCCACAAAACCTGGGTTCAATTCCCACCACGCACATGGAAGTTCACAACTGTCTGTAACTGCAGGATCCAACACCCCCAAACAGACATACATTCAGGCAAAACACCAATAAAATAAAAATAAATAAACAAACTGGAGTGTGGAATTAAAAAGAAACAAAAGGAATACAAATAGCCAAGAAATATATATTTTTTTAATGTTCAACATCCATAGCCATCGGGGATATGTAAATTAAAAGTACCTTGAGATTTCATCTTACCCCAGTCAGAATGGTGAAGATCAGTTTAAAACGGAGGAAGTGGAGGAAGAGAGGAGAAAACAAATAAAGGATTTTGGGAGTGCACACTGGAAAACTGGTGCGTCCACTATGAAAACCCAGTGTAGAGATTCCTCAGAACGTTAAAAATGGACACTGGAGCCATGACTCAGCAGTTGAAAGCACCGGCTGCTCTTCCTGAGGACTGAAGTTTGACCCAGCAGGACAGCTCACAGCTGTTTGTGTTCCAGGCCCAAGGGAGACAATGCCCTCTTCTGACTTCCAGGGGCACTGCACGCATTGGTACACAGATATGTAAGCAAAACACCCATGCACACAAAATAATAAGGACTTAATTAATTAATTTTTAAAAACTAGAAATAAAGGATGGAAAGATGGCTCGTGAGTTAAGAGCTCTGACTGTTCTTCCAGGGGACCCAGGTTCAATTCCCAGCGCCTACATGATAATTCTAGTTCCAGGGGATCCAACACCGTCTTCTAGCCTGGGCATCCTGCATGAAAGTGGTACACAGACATACATGCAGACAAAACAACCACACACATAAAATTAAGTTAAAATTTGAATATTAAAAATATTTTAAAGGTGGAGAGAGGCTTGGTCCTGCCTCAACTTGATATACCAGACTTTCTTGACTCTCCATGGGAGGTCTTACCCTTTCTGAGGAGTGGGTAAGGGGGTTGGGTGAGGGGTAAGGAGGGAGGGAAGTGGGAGGAGGGAGGGAAGTGGGAGGAGGGTAGGGAGTAGGAACTGTGGTTGATATGTAAAGTGAAAAAACTTTTAAATAAAAAAATTTTTTAAATATTTTTAAAACTAGGAGCAAACACCTTTAACCTTAGCACTCACTGGTCAGCAGAGGCAGGCAGGTATCTGTGAAGTTAAGTCACAGCAAGTTCCAGACCAGCCAAGGGTACACAGTGACACCCTGTCTTTTAAAATAGCTGGAAACAGATCTTCTGTAAGTATGATCCAGCTATACCACCCTTGGGCATATTCCCAAAGGATTCTACATCCTATTGCAGAGGCCCAGGGATGGTACCACCCTCTATGGGCTGGACCCTCCCACATCTATCACTAATTTAAACATGCCCTACAGGCTTGCCTACAGCCTGATCTTATGGAGGCTTTTTCCCAATTGAAGCTTCCTCCTCTCAGATGACTCTAGCTTGTGTTGAGTTGACGTAAAACCAGTTAGCACACCCGCCATTGCTGAGTTCCTTACTGAGTGGTGGTTCTCAATCTTCTTAATGCTGAGACCCTTTCATACGCTCCCTTGTGTTGTGGCGGCCTCCCAATCATAAAAGTATTTCGTTGCTACGTCATAACTGTAGTTTTGCTACTGTTAGGAATCGTAATGTAAATATCTGATTGCAGGATATCTGAAGGCAACCCACAGTGGGATGCTGACCCACAGGTTGAGAACCGCTGTTGTATAGACTAAGATCTGGAGGGAGGAAGAGTTCCCCGAGCCTTAAGGCTCCCTTTTAAAATAAGATTTTGACCAGGCCTGATGATATACACCTGCAATCCCAGTCCTCAAGAGGAGGACAAGAGAATTGGGAGTTTCGGGGCAAACTAGCCTCTTCTACAAAGAAAAATCTGAAACCGCACTGGCTTCATCACATGGATTTTTTTCCATAATTTTATTAATTTTTTTCATTTATTTTACTTACCAACCAGTTTCCCCCTCCCTCCTCTCTTCCCGTTTTCTCTCTCACCTCCCATCTACTCCCGCCCATCCCCTCTTCCTCTGTTCAGAAAGGGGCAGGCCTCCATGGGAGTCAACAAAGCAGGGCCTATCAAGTTGAGACAGGACCAAGCTCCTCCTGTCAAGGCAGGGCAAGGCATCCTAGCATGGGGAATGGGTTCCAAAAAGTCAGCTCATGCACCAGGGACGGTCCTGATCCCACTGCTTGGAGCCCCACAAACAGATCAAGCTACACACCTATCACCCACATGCGGTGGGCCTAGCTGTTGGCCCAGAGTCTGTGAGCTCCCACAAGCTCAGGTCACCTACCATGACGAGATCTTTTTAAGTTTTTCCGTTTTAATTTATTATCGTTATTATTATTATTCCTTTTTTTCTCTTAAATTTTGCTTTATTTGGGGGGTGTTCAGCGCCAAAGGGCAGTTGTGATGGGATGGGGAAATGAAAGGGATACAGATACATGATGTAAAAACACACATAGACAGAATTAATTTAAAAAAAAAAAAATGAAGTGCCTGCATTGCCCACCCTGACCACCAGGGAGCAGGCAAGGATAGCATTCTGCCCTGGCTCAGGCGCTAAGAGCTCTTCCCGCAGTCTGAGGCAGTGCTTGCTGCAAACGCTTCATGGGGGAGCTTCATGTCTGCTACTGCACAGGGAGCTTCACCAAAGGCGGGGTGCACAGAGCACTTTTTAGACCTTTGGTGGCCTCATTTTGTAAGAGCTTTGTTGTGGAGTGTCTACACACATTTGAATTCAACCATTTTAAAATTTGACTAATTGAAGAGTGTAACCACCCCCAAATACATACCCTGTTTCTTTCTCTTCAAAATATTCCCTCCTGCCCCGTGTGTTAATCATTTCCCTGAACTCTGACCCCTGGCAACCACCTCATCCTTTTCCTATGGTTGTAAGTTTGCCTTGTCTATCATAATACAAAAGGAACCGTTTGTGACTGGCTCTGCCTTCACCTCCTGCTTTTGAGATTTAAGAAGTAGCTCGTTCCTTTCATTAGAGTGGCTTCCCTATGTGTTCGCACCGCACCCTGCCCTCTCAGCAACTGATGGGATAAATACATCTGAGTGGATGGGGCAGGAATTATTAATGACTTTGTGTAGGCAAAATGCGATGCCCCGTTTCTTTCGGATGAACTGAGAGCAGGCCTCTGAGTCATGAAACAAGTGCGTGCTCATTCAACTTTTTAAAAAGTTGCCCAACTGCCTTTTCATTCCCAGCCAGCTGTTCCATGTCCTCAGCCTACCAAGGACTGCCGTTACAAGTGTGTCCAACACTATGTTTCATGGTTTTATGGTTTTAAATCTGATTATGACGAATGGGCATGCAGTAGTGTCTCACTGCAGATGCTCTCTGAATCCTTCTTCTCTATACCCCACTTCTGTTGGTGTGTGTGCGCCCGCACGCGCGCGCGCACGCGCGCGCGCGCACACACACACACACCCCGAAAATGCCCTGAGAGTTTTCTTTATTCCACTTGTTTGTCGTGCACCGCGCCCCCGTCTGCACTCTACGCGCTACAATACAGTTCGTGAGCTTCAGGCAAGGGGCTGAAGGTTGAGGAAACACACACAGAAACAGACAGACACACGGACCTTTTTTTTTTTTTTTTTACTGGTACAAAAACCCTTCTTTAATAGCACCATGGAGGCTTAAATACCCAGCAGTCAATGGCCAACAGGTGAAAATCCCATCCTCTGATCCTCCAGGCAAGGCACAGCTTTTAGCAACTCCAATTAGAAGGCTCTAGACAGGGAAGAGCAGCTGAAGGCCAGGACTCCAATTGGTCCCAACACTTGTTTACTCTGGTCTTGGTCATTGGTGATACAGGGCCTCTGAATGATGGTGCAGTATTTGACAGAGTTGTGGCTCAGGGTTAGGGACAAGTACCAGACCATTCAGTTAACAGAAACTAGCCAGACAGTGTGGTGGTGTACACCTTTAATCCCAGCACTTGGGAGGCAGAGGCAGGTGGATCTCTGTGAGTTTGAGGCCAGCCTGGTCTATGGAGTAAATTCCAAGACAGCCAAGGCTACACAGAGAAACTCTGTCTTGAAAAACCAAAAAGAAGAAAGGAAGAAAGCAAGAAATGAAGGAGAGAGAGACGGAGAGGAAAGAAGGAAGAGAAAGAAACTAGGAAACTAGTTCCATGACCCTGAGCTGGCAGAGCTGGAATCTCTCAATCCCCACAGCCCAATTGTTCATTAGGTCAGGAACTTCAGAGCAGAGAGTGAATTGGTCAGGCAGGGCTGAAACCTTGGTTTGAACCAGAGTATGTTAAAAGAGAGAGAGAGAGAGAGAGAGAGAGAGAGAGAGAGAGAGAGAGAGAGGAGAGAGAGAGAGGGGCCAGGCGGTGGTGGTGCACACCTTTAATCCCAGCACTTGGGAGGCAGAGGCAGGCAGATCTCTGTGAGTTCGAGACCAGCCTGGTCTACAAGAGCTAGTTCCAGGACAGGCTTCAAAACCACAGAGAAACCCTGTCTCAAAAAACAAAACAAAACAAACAAAAAAAAAAAATCCAGAAAGTTACCTAAGGATNAAAAAAAAAAAAAAAAAAAAAAAAAAAAAAAAAAAAAAAAAACAGAGAGAGAGAGATAGTAACTTGACTATGCTGAGCGGTAGAGTCAGGAGAAGCAGTGATCTCTGTGTGCTGGTCACTCAGGTCGGGGTAAGTGTTAAATGCCCCTGTAAAGCCCCTGCGAAGAGACCCGGACAGCACTGCACCCTCCACCTGCAAAGCTAGGATACAGAGACCATGGTCAGTTTTCAGGGGGCATTAAGGCCGTTTAGGATTGAGCCCGACATCATTTCCTCAGGGAATCAGGCTCCTGGGCACAGCCTGGGCTACTTATAATCCTCACAGACTTCTGAAACTAGGAAGTGAAATTTTAAAGATTTGCCAAGTAAGATAAGTGACCTTGAACTGGATTTTCAACTATGGGGTGAGGGGCCTTGGAAAGTTCTAGTTTCCAATGCATTTCAAATGAAAAAGAGCCATGACTAAGTAGGAATGAGCTGTGCGGAACCTCAGACCTGAACAGGAAAGAATGGGGAACCTTTTGCGAGGTCCTGGGCAGCCATGTGTCCTAAAAGCAAGGTAATATTTTCCTTAACAAGATAAAAGGCTCACTCAGAGTAAACATATGTGCATGCCTTTGTTCAAATAATTCCCTTCACCCCAACCAAAGGTCACTTCCATTTCTCCATCTGTGGACATCCTAGCGGTTCTCCAGCTCTGGACTTTCAGCTTCCGCTTTCCCCGTCCTGCCAGCTTCTCCAGTTACAACTCTCTGCTCCCTCATCTTCACCCCCAAGCCCTCTAGTGAACTCCTGACTGTAGGACAGCACGCGAGCGTGAGGAGTGCCTCACATCTTGGAGAAGCTTTTGAGGCAGGATCTGTCTGCTCCACACTCCTGCAGGATCCTCCTCCCTCGATCTCATCTGCGCTTGCAGATCAGGTGAAAGGAAACTTCTAGGAGAGACTAGAAGGAGAGAAAAGAGAGACAGTCGCCGATGATCTTAGTTTTGCTGTGAGGAGGAGAGAAAATGGGGCAAAGTGCAGTTTGCATAGCACAGTGTAGTTTTGTGCGTTTGTGGCGCTGGAGATTAACCGAGGCCTCCTGTGTGCTAGGCAGGTCTTCTACTCCTGAGCTATATCCCCAGATCTGAACAGGTTATCTAGATGAGGGTGCGTTTGCAGCTGCTGAGAGAGACACAGGAGATGCTGGAGTTACAGAAGAGATAGCACAAGGAAGACGGGAGGGAACCTGGGGCTGGCGTCCATGCATGGATTTCAGAGAGAGGCTAGGATGAGCCGAACGAGGACAGTGTAAGAAATTCTGTGGTCCCTTGTTTACTGACCTTGAACAAGGGTGCCTCTAAATTTTCTGCTTAAACAAACTTGGAGGAGCATGCCCGGTACAGCCCTTAGGATGTGAAAGATGGGTCTGAGGCCAACCTGGCCTAATTGTGAGATCTTGAATTAAAAAAAATACTACAGGGCATCAGTCTAGCTTAGAATGATTACTCTTTTCTGCATGCCTCGTCCTCCTTTTGGGAATAGAAATTTGCGTTGAGTTCTTACAGGAAGCTCCGAGTCTAGCTGACCTGGAATACAGCCGCTGTAATTCTAAGAGCCGCACCATGCCAGGCTAACGCTAGTATTTGAACACCAGAGGGCGCCATATCATCAGGCCCCTCCAGAAGACACTCCTTCTGCTCTGGGAGTGGCCAGAGCCCGGGACGCTTAACTTCGGAAGTGGTCACCAACCAATTAAGGCAGACCAAGTTAATTTTTACAGGGAAAGGGGTACTATAAAAAGCAAGTCCTCTCCTGCTTTCCAACTGCGTCTTCCACTGTCAGTCATAAGAAATATGGGGACAGTGGTACAAGCCCGGCCCAGTGTCCTAGTCTGGATGGCCTGTCTACTTCTGGCATGTCCTGGTAAGATACACTCCCTGAACCTGTGAGGTGGGGCTTCTGACTTGGTAGGACACCTGAGGAAGGAGGGGACAAGAGTGAGGCAGGGACCAGTAAGAGTGAGCAGCCCTCTCAGGGAAGGAGTCTAGTACGAAAGAATGCAGCCATTGTGTGTCCTTCTGTGTGATCTATGGGGGATTAGGGGGTGAGGTTGGTGATGGTGTTCATTTATTTTCTAGGAGCCGAACCCCAGGGCCTTAACATACTAAACAAGCTCTACCACTGTGCTCTTTCCCCAGTCTTATCTTTATGTCTTAAAGGGCACAAGACTGATTAATCAGTCGTGGTAAGACAAACAAAAGAGTCATAAAGGAAGCTTACTCAGAGTTCCCTGAAAATGGAGGCAAAAATCACCCCATTAGCCCATGCATGGAAGCCAACAGATGACAGAACAAGTGGGGGGAAATGGGGAGAGACCCAAGGGGGCAAGAACAAGCAATGCAGGCTAAACAGACTTAAGATCACCAGGCTCCAGATGTCAAGCATCTGGACACAGAAAGTAACGAGGCTGCCTGCCTGTTACGCTATATTTAGTGTGTGAGTAACTTGAGGTTCAAGTGGGCAGCAGGTCTGATTCAGCCTTGGGGCCCAAGGGAAGGAAGAGGAAGTCGGGGACAATCGTGGAGATGATAGATAGGAGCCATGTGTGCTAACACCCATTTGCAATCCTAGGACTGAGGAGGCAGAGGTAGGAGATCAGGGTTAGAAGCCAGTCTCCTCTACCAGCACAATCAAGGCCAGACTGAACTTTCTCAAAAACAAACAAATAATAACGGTGAAGGCAACCCCTGGCTGGAGAGCTCACCCCTGACACTGTGGAGAGGGCTCAGCACGGAGCCCCACAAAACAGACCCTGGAGAAACAAACCAACGCTGCTGCATTCTAAAAATTCATCTTTCACCCAGGCCCTCTCGGAAGCTGTAGACTCACCTAGTGACCCTTCTCTCCCAATCTCAGGATCCAAAGCCACTCAGCCTGAAGTGGATACCCCCCTGGGTCGCGTGAGAGGTCGGCAAGTAGGTGTGAAGGGCACAGAGCGGCTGGTGAACGTCTTCCTGGGCATTCCCTTTGCTCAGGCACCACTAGGCTCCCTGCGGTTCTCAGCCCCACTCCCGCCACAGCCCTGGGAAGGCGTGAGAGATGCCAGCACCAATCCCCCAATGTGAGTACCCTGCAGGAGGTGGGCCAGCGGGCAGGGTGGTGGCAGAGGCTGGACACCAGGCTGTGTGAACTGATAGCTGCCTCTGGGGTCCCCCTTGACTGCAGGTGCATGCAGGACATAGAGAGAACGAGTAACAGCAGATTCACCCTCAACCAAAAGTTTCAGATCTTCTCTATTTCCGAGGATTGCCTGATCCTCAATGTCTACAGCCCCGCTGAGACCACTGCAGGGGCCAGACTGCCGGTATACAGTCCAGAGGCCCCCCATCCAGCACTACCGTGCCAGCTGCCCCTCTATACCCCTATTTCCTAAACACCCCAGAAGTCCTCAGTACACCCTGGACCGCTAGGTGGGGGTTGGAGTCCGAGAAGCTGGAGTCTCTGATTCACAGCTGTTTCTACAGGTCATGGTATGGATCCATGGGGGCTCTCTGGTAGTTGGCTCCGCCACCTCTCATGATGGATCAGCCCTGGCTGCCTATGGGAATGTGGTAATAGTCACTGTCCAGTACCGTCTCGGCATCTTTGGCTTCCTCAGGTAAGATAGCCAGCCTGGAAGAGGACGTTACAGCCCTGAGGAAGGCCTTCTCATGAGAATCTAAGGGTAGAGGGTTTGGGGACATTGTTCACCCAGTAAAATGTGCTTGCCACGCAAACATGAGGACATGAATTGGGGTCCCCAACATCCATCTATAAACTGGGTATGGCTGCATATGTCTATAATCTCAGCACTAAGTACTCAAATAGAGACCCTGTTCCAAAAACTAAGAAACAAATCAGTTAAGCAAGATGTCTAATGTTGCTATCCTATCTGGCCTCCATGTGTGTATACTTGACAGGAATTCATGTTGGCATGCACGAGAGAGAGAGAGAGAGAGAGAGAGAGAGAGAGAGAGAGAGAGAGAGAGAGAGAAGAAAGAATATCCCAGGGCTCCTCAATGGGAAGGGGCCCAATGAAAGCCAGAATTGAACATTGAACTTGGGCAAAGGGTGGGGTAGAGTCCTAGCGGGGAATGGGGACAAAGAGCAACAAGCCCAATTAATTATCCATCTGAGATCCAGCTCTGATTGACTGTCTTGCTACATCTACCCACACCATATATTGGGAAAACAGGTGCCAATAATGACTCATATCCAAGCCAGGACTGGGGAACAGAGGAGAAGCCCAGTGCCCTGGTGACTGACTCGAAGCAGTTTTGCAGAGGGCAAGAAAAAATAAATCCATCTTGGGAGGCATCTTGTGCTAACCACTGCCTCGCCCTGCCCCTAGCACCGGAGACAAGCACATGCCTGGCAACCGAGGCCTCCTTGATGTGGTGGCCGCTCTACGCTGGGTGCAGGGAAACATAGCCTCCTTTGGGGGCGATCCCAACTGCGTCACTATCTTCGGTAATTCTGCTGGTGGCATGATCGTCTCATCCCTGGTGAGTTACCCACAGAGAAGTAGCAATTGTAGCCAGGTTAAAGAGAGCTTCTGTGGCCCCTGACCTCCTAGCTCTCCTGCCTGCTGATGTCATCTGTCCTCTCTGTTGTTCCCAGGTCCTGTCTCCAATGTCTGTGGGGTTATTTCACAGAGCCATATCCCAGAGTGGGATTATTACCAACAAGATATTGAAGGAGATAAACCCATGGCCTGAAGCTCAGGTCTGCCTTTCCTTTACTCTCTTATCTTAAGTCTGCATCAAAACCGGTCCTGTGCTAACCTTTGGGTCAGGCGAGGAGAGGAAGGAGTCACCAACAGGCTCAGAGACCATGACTAGGGCAGTCCAGGGGTAGGTAGTCAGACCCAGCTTTCTTGAGAAGGCCACCCTGAGCAGATTCTCTCTGGTACTTCCCTGGGGCCATTTTTAGGGATCTCCTCTTTCCCCAAGGATCCTTTGGGAGCCTCCCATTCCCGGCCATGCTGTTGCCTAAGAGATTTGTCCCCTTGTGAAAAGTAGCCAGAAAAAGCCACCAAGAACTTCCCTAATAGGAACTGGGCATGCAAAAGCTTCGGGCACAAGACAAAGTGATGGCTCACAGAAGCAGGAAGCCATCAGGTAGGGGCCAAGACAAGAAACTAATGCACTGAAGAGGTGGAGGTTCATGCAGGGACATGAAAGACCATGCCTGAGAGTTTGGGCAGGGTGCAAAGGGCTAGAAGCAGCCGGGAAACAAATCCGAGGCACGTGGAATAAAAGGTGGGATGGAGAGAGCGGTCCTGGAGGCCAAGAGCCGGTGAGATTGGGACAGTAGAGTCTAGGCAAGCTCTAGAGACATTGCTGGGGTAAGCAGCAAAAGGCTGGACCTATCGTCTCTTCAGCTGGTCCCAGGCCCTGGCTGTGATGGAGCAGTGAGCAATAACACTGGGTTTGAGGGATAATTCAGGAGCCTCAGCGGGACACGTGGCTTCTTATCTATCCAAGAGCAGCAGCCTACCCCTCTCTTCACCACAGACGGGAGAGATCTTCTTACCACAATTGCTGGCCTCCTCTGTCTCTCTGGACGCCTTCCCTCCAGCCTCCCTGCCCTGCTCCAGACTCAGTACCCCTTACATTCCCTGCCAGACAGGCCCATGCATGTCCTAACCGGCACTGCAAACTATTACTGAACTAGAAAAGGACACGTTTCTTAGATGAATGAAGGAGACACAGGAAGAGGGATCAGCCTCCCTAGGATGGTAGCAGGTCTCTTGGACTAGCCTTGTGACATCACAGCTCAGAACAGAGAGCAGTGTTCGGGAAGCAAAGGGTGTGTATCTGAGAGGCAACATTCTTCTGTCTGTCCTCAGACCTTAGCCAACTCCTTGGGCTGCAGCTCCGTATCCTCAGCTGAGCTGGTGCAGTGTCTGCTACAGAAGGAAGGAAAGGACCTTAACAATCAGGTATGTCACCTCTAGGGTGATGATGACAGACAATGACCCAGAGGGGTCCTGTCCAGTCCCTGTGGAATCCCTAGGCTGGGTCCTGACAGTGGGCCTCCTGCCTTGCTTTTCCTGCAGAAAAACGTGAAAGTTTCCTACATAAGCAATGACTCCTTCTTCCCACAAAGCCCAGAGAAGCTCCTAACAGAGAAGAAATTCCCCACTGTGCCCTACCTCCTGGGAGTCAACAATCATGAGATTGGCTGGCTCATGCTCAAGGTGAGTGTCCTCTGGCAAATGTGCCCGTCCAGGCCCTGCCCAGGCAGTCTTCTCCATGTGCTCTAAGCACTCCGGCCACTCCCATTGGGTAGGTGAGAAAGCCTAGGGCCAAGGCCACTTGGCTTTATTTCACCAAACCAATGCTCTGTGTGTTGAAGACCCAGCTTTTGCAAAGTAGTCTTCTGGGAAGGGCTAATCTACAGCACATTCTTGATATTTGCTGCTCTGAGCCACGGAGGAGCATGACTCTGTGCCCAGGAGACTGAGTGACTGAGACTTCCATGTTCCAAACAGCATTAAGCTATAGGACATGATGGTTCAGGTGCCTTCTAATCCAGTCTGGGTACACAGTGCCTACAAGAGCGGCTCCACCATGCTGTACTCCTGGGTACCCTACTTCATCCCACCATTGCCATTCGTCCACCCATCTTCACAGAAACTTTTCTCTCTCCAGTGATGCCGAAGACCAAACACAGGTCTTCCCACATGCCAGCCAAGTACTCTGCCCCCAGCCTACCCCTTAACCCATTAACCATTTTCAAATGGATGAAGTCTCTCACAAAGGAAGAGCCCATCGCGTTTCTTCACTTGGTGGTTTGAGTAGCTGCTAGTAGGGCCAGTCTAGCTCACAGCACAGTGCTCTGTTTAACTGACACCATGCTGCCTAAACAGAAGCAAGATTTGTCTTGCCATTCCCCCATTGAAAATCGATCCACCGCAGAAATCGGCTTCTCTGTGCCAGGGCTTGGAGGCACACAAACTCGGCCCCACAAGAGCCCTAGGAAGCAGGCCATTGATATTTCATTCACACATGAGAAAACTGAGGCATAAGAAGCTCAGGGAACATCGTGAATCTTTAAGTGGTAGACCTGGCATTTGAACTCAAAAAGTCAGATATCTAGGTGTTATTAAGAGCCCCTTCATCTAGGGGCTGGAGAGATGACTCAGTGGTTAAGAGCATTGCCTGCTCTTCCAAAGGTCCTGAGTTCAATTCCCGGCAACCACATGGTGGCTCACAACCATCTGTAATGAGGTCTGGTGCCCTCTTCTGGCCTGCAGACATACACACAGATAGAATATTGTATACATAATAAATAAATATTAAAAAAAAAGAGTACTTCATCTAAGACAGGCACCACGGATATGTCTGTAATCCACTCAGGTGGCCAAGGTAGGAATGGTTCAAGTCTGAGACCAGCCTGGGCTACATCATGAGTTCTTATCTCAAAAACAAAATTACCTGTGAGATAGAAAACCAACATTTGATTTTATTGCCTGGGGTCTTTGTTTCTTGTTTTGAGACAGAGTCTTATCCTGTAGTTCAGCTATCCTAAAACTCAGTATATAACCCAAGCTGACCTCAGACTTGAGGCCCAGTCCTCCTGTCTCGGCCTCTTAAGTGCTGGCATTAGACATGAGTCAAAATACCAGACAACGTGTGATGTTTTTAACTAGTGCCTGTGAGGTTTGGAGGTGAACCATGGGTGACCCTCACCCCATCCCCAGCACATCCATAGAAAAGGCAGGCCTGACACTCGATGCCTGCAATCCCAGGACTGGGGAAGTGAAGGCAGGAGGATCCTGCAGCTCACTGCTCAGCTGGTCTAGCCAAACTGACCAACTCCAAGTTCTGTAAGAGACTGTCTCTCAAAGTGTAAAGAGATTGTAAAAAAAAAAAAAACAGCCAACATCAACTTCTGACCTACATACACATACATCCATCCTCATACAAACATATGCATACATACACACATAAACATACATACATGCTCACATAAACATATGCACACACAAACACACACCTGCATGCATACACAAACACAAACATGTGCACACGAATACATATTCACACAGGTACAGAAGAAGAAGGAGGAGGAAGGAGGAAGAGAAAGAGGAGAAGGAGCAGAAAAGTTTTGAATAAACATTTTCCTCCCAGCTGGCGCTGCCATTAGCCTCTGACAGCGGAGTGCAATGCCACTATCCTAGGCCCCTGCATTCTTAGCCTTCAGAATTTTCTCGGTTATGTCGCAAGCTTGTGGCTTTGACTACCCATGACTCTACCGTGAGTTTGTAAACACTAGCCCAGGAATGCCTCCTGCTCAGGCCCGAGGGCGAAGCACAGAGATAGAGGTGCATTGATAGAACCTCAGTGTCTGTCCCCACAGGTCTGGAATTTCCTGGAGAAGTTGGAACACTTAAGCCGGGAGGAGCTGCTGGAGATTTCAAGGCCCTTTCTGACCAGTGTGGTAAGGCAGGAGGAAGGGGGAGGGGCTCCCAGGCACCTTGTACAGCACCCTCGGATCCACTGCCACCTGAAGCTACTTACCAACCACCAAAGCTTTTAGCCCAGTTGATGAGCCTCAGGCCCACTAAGAGTAAAGAGATCAGGAGCAGTAACTCTGGGCTGTCATCCCAGCGTTCAGGAAGTTGAGGTAGAGAAATTACCGAAAAATTAAGGCTACCCTATGGGTTGCATAATAAGTTCTAGGCTAGCCTGGTCTACAGAGTCTAAGTAAAAATAAAAATAAAAAAGCATTACTCTGAGATAGTATGGTTCTTGAAGAAAGATCAACGGCAGCAGCATTGTCCCCCATGGTGAACACCTCTTCATGAGCACAACCCCCACGCCCAGGACTGTGTCTGGCTCAGCATGCAGATTGGCATTTGTCCTCTGGTTGTCATGGCGGCTCTGTGAAGCAGAAATTGGCAGTGTCCCTGCTGCAGATTAGAAAAGTGACCCCTGAGCAGAAGTGTTAAAATCTCATTGTCAGGTTTGGAGCCAGATGGACCTGGGGGCAGACAGATCCCAGCCCTGATCACTTGTCCAGTTCTCCCAGTCCCTCTGAGCCCACAGCTCCACTTCAAATGGAGAGGAAACCTTCTCTCTCGCCTGAGCTCTCCTAGGGAGACTGGGTGCTGCATGTGAGGAGCTGACCAGATACCCAGCAGCCCCTAGGTGTGCTATCTTCTCTGGAAACCCCAGAGTCGTCTCCTTCATACAACTTCGTAGTTGCTTTCTGGACTTACGAGTCACCCCCATTTATTGCTTCTTCCCATTTAATTTCTACCTAGCATTGGCTTCCAGACCACACTCTGTTCTGCAGATGTACACTTCCAGATACCTTACCAGACACTGGCTTTCAGAGTAGTCCAGACACCTGCTCCATGTGGTACTGACAGTGGCCACAGGCATAACACTTAACTCTACACACACGCTTATCCTACGCAGACACAAACTATTAATAAAATACCTAGGGAGGCAGGGATAGATGGCTGTTCCCTGGAGCAGGAGCCCCAGGATGTGAAAGAACCATTAGTAGAGGATGTGAGAATCTGTGGGAGGTCCGCAGAAGCTGTGGGACCTAAACAGGCCTGAGCCTGACCTCTCTCTCTCACTCCAGGAGGTGCCCCCTGAGATTATGCCCATTGTCATAGATGAATACCTAGACAATGGCTCAGATGCACCAGCCATGCGGTATGCCTTCCAGGAACTGGTAGGTGATATCGCGTTTGTCATTCCTACCTTGATCTTCTCAAAACACCTCCAAGGTAAGCCAGCCCTTGCCGCCTGCCCTATCCTCCCTGTACCATCAGGTGATGATGGAGCTGCTGATAGGTACAGAATCCCCGGATGCCTTGCATCCCGCCTCTGCTGCTACCTCCCAGCCATTTTTCTTTGAGATGTAGCATCATAGAAGCAGGTGGCACCCCTGGAAAAGGACCTTGCAGATTAAACAGAGGTTCAGTGACTTACCAAAGGTCACCTAGAAGGGCCCATCACTAACTCTTTCTCGGGGAACCGCTCAGTTGGTGAGAAATTTGGTACTCTTAAGTGCTTCCTCTGAACCCGGCACAGTGCTATAAGAGTCCCAGATTCTTAAACTTGTGATTTCGGGCAAATTTCAGACGTCTTCTCTGGACTTCACTTTCATCATATGTAGAGGGGAGCACAGCGAAGGTTAATCTAAAGCAGTGGTCCTCAGCTTTCCTGATGTTGTAACTCTTTAACACCGTTATCATGTTATGATGACCCCCAACAATAAAACTGTTTCATTGCTACTTCATGATGTAATTTTGGGACTGTTATGAATTGCAGTGCAAATATCTGATATGCAAGGTATCTTATATGCGACCCCAAAGGGTTTGGAACCCCAGGTGGAGAACCACTGACCTAAGTAGGGTCAGGAGTTCAAGGTCATCTTTGGCCACTTAGCAAGTCAGAGGAGGGCTCAGCAATGCTTGCTGTTATCTCTGATCTGCACCATTATGATGACGATGATTGATGTCATTGCAAGGTTGTGCGGCCAGGCACCCTGATTTAACTGTGGGCACCTAACATGAACCCTGCCTTCTCCGTAGATGCTGGGTCCCCTGTCTTCTTGTACGAGTTCAAGCATACCCCCAGTTCCTTTGCGAAGTTCAAGCCTTCCTGGGTAAAGGCTGACCACGGGTCTGAGAGTCCCTTTGTCCTTGGAGGTCCTTTCCTCACAGATGAGAGCAACTTCCTGGGTAAGGACAGACAGACATTCCATCCCTAGGCTACAGTGCTCCAAGGTGGTCTTTTGGGAACAGAGGTTTCAGTTTGTACCAGGAACCTTTAGGCATAGTCCGAGCCTCGCCTGACCCTGATCTGTCCCTCCTACCAGCCTTCCCAGAGGCCACAGAGGAAGAGAAACAGCTGAGCCTCACCATGATGGCCCAATGGACCCAGTTTGCACACACAGGGTGAGTAGGTGGAAGCACATGCCAGACTTTGGGCCTCCTATCTGCCCCTACTCAGGGCACAGAATCAACCCTTGCTTCTCAATCTCCTCACCCAGGAACCCCAATGGCAAGGGGTTGCCCTCTTGGCCCCAGTTAAACCAGTTAGAACAATACTTGGAGATTGGCCTACAGCCGCGGATTGGGGCGAAGCTAAAGAAGAACCGGCTACAGTTCTGGACAGAGACACTGCCCAGAAAAATCCAAGAGTGGCGCCAACAACAGAAGAGCAGGAGAGCGCCAGAGGAACTCTGAGGTGGGGCCTGCCTGGACCTTCCTCACCTGGGCCAACCCAAAGAGCGGTGGAGTCCCAGGAGGACAGCCTCTTTCTGTTTCTACCCGGACACTTTAACCTGGACCAGGCTGATGCAAACACACAATCCTTAAGGCATGAGCCTCTGCAGGACAGGCATGGCGCACTAGTGAAATGTCACCACACTGGTTTCTACCTCAGGACCCTTGCCCAAGCTCCTGCTTTTTCCTGAGGTGTCTTGAATCCTTGCTCCACGGCAAGGTCCAGCACATCAGTCAAGCTCTTCAGAGGATCTGTTCTCCTGGGAAAGCTCCTCTACCTCCTCTAGGCCATGTGTGCCTGTTAGAACCCAGCCTACCACAAGCTCACAACAGCCAAGGCTGTGTCCTTGTCCCTCCCAGAGGAGGTCTCTGAAAAGAGAAGTTGATAACCTCACTCTGTCACCACAGCAAGATTGGCAGAACCTGGAGGCAGGGAATGTTTCATAAATGAATGACAGACAGAATCTATGAACATGGGTTCTAGATTTGAACCCGGACCCTTCTTCAGGCACCAAAATCAATGTCCCATCCTCAATAAATGTCCACCCTGGCCAAGAAGGTGACCTCTGAAGGTGGAGGTCTTGGGGCACAGGGGGCCCTAGCTTCGAACTGAAAGACCACCGGTGTGGGGAGACTCTCACTCAAGTCTCGGGATAACACGACCCCCCAAGAACTCACGAGAGACCGTCCTTGCTGCAATCACACTAGGTTTATTGACAGGAACCAGCACTGTGGCCGAGACTCATATCCCATGCAGACCCTGAGTAGCTGGGAGAGGAGGTAGTTAAGGGAAGAAACCACAACCCAAAAGGGGGTAGGGAGAGCGTCATTGGAAAATTCCGAAAATACCAGTGATAATCACAAGGGGGTAACTTCCAGTTTCTCAAGATTATAATCTAACTTGATGGTCAACTAATTCCTGTAACACAAGTCACTGAACCGGCTAACCTAGGTTTTTGGCTCTTCTCTTCCTGCTAGATTTTTGGCTCTATTTTTTCTGCTAGAGGGGTCTGGATTTATCCCGGTCTTTCAGAACAAACCTAGCACCTAGAGGTCTCTAACCAGGACCTAATCCCCTCCTTTCTGCTGGCTGGTCTTTGCCTCCGCCCAAGGCAGAACAGAATCCAGCAAGATCACTCTCACCAGATACTATCTTTCCCTTTAGGGCCTGGCCTCTAAGCTTACACCCAAAGGACAGGTACTCTACCCTCACCTCCCAGCAGCAGAGGACAATCAGTCCGCCTGCACCTCAGGGGAGCTCCAGGACACAGCGGTGAAGGCCAAGACAAAGGTCTGGCCTGGTACAGCAGGCTTGTTTTCAGAGTAGGATATTCATATCCTTTTTAAGAATCAGTGTATTGTCCCCTTAAAACATCTGGATTCTGAGACTGGGGAGGAGGATAGCACAGAAATAGAGAAATAGAGCCCAGCACACACTCCAAACAAATCTGGATTTTGATCGACTTCCAAGTATCTTGCCTTGATCCATAGTCTCTCAGTCAGACTATATCGTGGCTGCTGATGGGTCCATGGAAAGCATTTGTACCTGAGGCAGTTATGCTATGGGGAGTCACTTGGAGCAAGGAGAGATGCAGAGCAGATGGGCTCTGAGCCTTCCTTGTCACTCTCCCTATTCCAAAGTTCCCCATGATTTTCTGGTCCTCTTAGGATGAGTTCGAGGTCTTCCCAATGCATTAAGGGTTTGCTGCTCTCAACTCCTCCCACCAAAGAAGTTTGTCCCCATAAGCTGATAGGGAGCTATGAAGAGGGACCCAGTGTGTGTTTCTGGTGACACACGAGCTGTGACAAATAGGCCAGGCCTGACTTGGGGACAGAGGGCATCTAAGCCAAGACCTGAAAGATAAGCGGAGGTTACTCAAATGGGCAAGCCAAAGTATAAACAGTGAGAAGCAAGGGGCAAAAGAAGTCCTTGACTAAGAGGACTCAATAGGAGAAAGGCCTTAGAGCAGTGGTTCTCGACCTTCCTAACCCCGCGACCCTCTAATACAGTTCCACACGTTACGGCAACCCCCAACCGTAACGTTATTTTTTGTTGCTACTTCACAACTATAATCTGCTACAGTTGTGAAGCATGATGTAAATATTTGATATGCAGGATATCTGACTTTTGACCCTTGTAAAAGGGTCATTCAACTCCCAAAGAGGTCATGATCCCCAGGTTGAGAACAACTGGCCTCGAGGAAGACGCTGAGGCAATACTGCTCTATTTGGACAGAGTGAGGTTAGATTATCAGGGACCTTGACTATGATCCGGTCTTGGACTTAAGAGCAAGAGGACCCAGAAAGACTCTCCTCACTGTGCAGAAGAGGGGGCAGGACAGTAGAGTCGGGAAGGGAAAGGAAGGAGGAGCCATTGCATTTTCCAAGATGGAAACCACTGGTAGGCTCTTTTGTTTTGCTGAGACAAGATCTCACTTTGTAGCCCAGGTTGACCTGAAACTCACTGTGTAGCCCCCAGCAGGCCCCAAACTCATAGCTCCTGCCTCAGCTTCTCATGAGCAGGGATCACAGGTGTGCGCCACCCCAGCAGGTTCTTGGTGGGCTCTTGATTGACAGCTGTCAGACATGATGACTAAGGGGATGCAGAGGCGAGGGGAAAAGACTCCGTGGGATCAGTGTTTGCTGCTCCGGGAGCAGAGGGTCTGGTGTGTGATGGCTCCGCCCCCTGGCCTAAGGCTATTCCACACCCACTCTGATGCTGCCAACTCCAGAGGTTGGGAAAAGAATGCACTGGTGAGGCCTCAGCCCCTGCCTGGTGAGAGCCTCTCTCTACTCTGGGAGGAATAGCACGGCTGGAAGGTTCCCTGGGATTCTATGCCTCTTGTCTTCCCATTTTCTTTTCCTGGGTCACTACCCCTGAGATTCACTGAACATCCCTCCCGTGTTGGCCAGAGTGTCCTAGCAAACAGACATTCTTGTTCCAAGGATGCAGCAGTCATGTAAAACTGAGGCTCCAATAGAAGGCACAGCTTCAGACAAGGAGACTGTTGGGTTATGGAGCCTCCCATGGAGAGGTGGCCGAAAGGGTTATGTGCTGGTGTGTTGTGGACACCAGGGGGCGCTGCAGGACAGGGCTAACACGTGCTAGAACTACGTAGGTATAGCTCCCTACAAACCAAGTCCAAGTTTCGCGCCACACAATCTGAGTCTGATTCATGCACTGACTGCTAGGCTTTTAGTGTGAATCTACGGTTTACTGGATATTTCATTTTGTCTTGTTTTGGGGTTGTTTGTTTGGTTTTGGTTTTTGGTTTGTTTGGTTGTTTGGTTTGGTTTGGGTTTGGGTATTTTGTTTGTTATGTTTTGTTTTGAGACAGGGTTACTCTGTGTGGCCCTGACTATACTAGAACTGTCTCTATAGACCAGGCTAACCTCGAAATCAGAGCTCCACCTGCCTCTGCTTCCTGAGTGCCAGAATTAAAGTCTTGCACACCACCCCTGGCTGGCTGGTTTTTGTTTGAGGTTGTTGCGGTGCAGGTAAACAAGTCCCCTGCTTGGTGCTTAGGCAAGTTAGGCAATTGAGTAGTCTTTGCTGCTCAGTTGTCCCATTTGTAAGAAAGACGTAATGACAGTGGTTCCTCTCATGTCTGCCATGAGCATCTGAAGGATATTGACCAGAAAGTGCCTAGACCGTGGCTGGCACCCAGCAAAAGCTCAACAAATGTCCCCTGGCCTACGTATGGACACACACTCCAGACACCTCTAATCACCACCTAAAGATTGGTGAACTGCAACTGGTGGAGGTGTCACAATTTTAGCGTGAGTAGCATAGGCATCTCCTACCTAAAAATAACTTGGAACTTACAGAAGCCCAGAACATCCGTGGGATGAATGTCTCTAAGTGGCTAATGATTTTTCTGTGGGAGCCACGGTCCTTCTGGGGGACGCTTGGGGTCACTGTGGTCCAAGCTCCCTCCCTAATCTGTCTGTAGTCCCCACCCCCTGCTCACCCACCTTGGGGTCCTAACCTGCTACTTTAGCACCTTTACACTAGTTCCTGGTGTTAGGAATTTTTCCTAACGCGAACTCTCCGCCTACGCAAAATCCCAATCAAGCCAAATCAAAACAAGCCAAATTAAGAAATATCCAGGCTTAATGGGATTCCTGCGCTCTCGGGTAGCCCCGAGGGGGAACCGGGAGGCCATGTAGGCGACCACTCTGAGGAAGGAAAAGAGACCACGTGGTCTTTTTATTTTTTATTTTTATTTTTATTTTTTTTTTTTTTTTGAGCCTTCACTTAAAGACTCTGTGGGCATGGTCCTGACCACGCTGCTGGGATTTGGAGTCCAGACCATACACCTCTCAGCCCTGGGGGCTGGGATAGATGTGAGGGGTTGGGGTCTACGCTCCCAACTTAACACCTGGCCCGACTTATCTAGTTCTTAAAACCATTGCAAGGACAAAAAGAAGCTCTGCGAGGGACGTTAATCCTACTTCTTGGGAACAACACCAATCTCTCCCATTTTACCCTGGCTCGTCCCCTCCTACCAGTCCTGTCCCTTAGGCCTTGGGTTACCCTGGCCCTTTGGATCCTCTACTAGAGTAGTACTATCCCCTCAGAAGGACCTGAACTGACCTCCCTTGATCTGATGACATTGCCCAGAGCCCCAGGGCACAAAGTAGTTAACATGGTATTTCAGAACCCAAGCTCTCTAACACCTGTCTCGTCCCTCAGGCCTCTGATTTGCCCGCCCTCTGTACAGAGGTATCAAAACTGAGAATCCGAGAGGAGCAGTGCCTTTCTTACAGCCACACAGAAAGAGGACAGAGCCGCGATTTTTCTTCAGAGACTTGCTGGCCTCGGACTCCACCATGTACCCTCCTAAAGCAGGCTCTACCGGCACTGGAGTTGGTGTTCGGGGAGTCTAGCTTAGGTGGGAAGCTGTGACTGTAAGAAGCAGCAAGCCAGCAAGGGAGTCCCAGAGAGAGATTTTTTTTTTTTTTTTGAGACAGTGTTTCTCGGTAGTCATTGGTGCCTGTCCTGGAACTAGCTCTTGTAGGCCAGGCTGGCCTCGAACTCACAGAGATCTGCCTGCCTCTGCCTCCCCAAGTGCTGGGATTAAAGGCATGTGCCACCACTGCCTGGCTTTTTTTTTTTTTTTTGCAGGTGAAGTGGCTTTATGGACGACAGAGAAATCACAGGGCCAGCACCGTTGTCACTCAGGCACCTGTGTGCTCCCTGTCCTCCAGGCCTGCGCTGTGACCCAGCACAGAGTGTTACGTGCAAAGTTCTTCCCATGGCCTCAGTGGTGTAGGAGGTCCTTCTGATTATGTGCTGCTTTCATTGGCTAATAAATAAAGAAACTGCCTTGGCCTTTTGATAGGGCAGAACTTAGTTAGGCGGGGAAAACAGAACTGAATTCTGGGAGGAAGAAAGCAGAGTCAGGGAGACACCATGGATCCTCTGCCTGAGATAGACGCTGTTTAGAATCTTTCCCGGTAAGCCACTGCCACGTAGCAACATACAGATTAATAGAAATGGGTTAAATCAAGATGTGAGAGTTAGCCAATAAGAGGCTAGAACTAATGGGCCAGGCAGTGTTTTAATTAATACGATTTCTGTGTGGTTATTTCTGGGCTAAGCTAGCTGGGGGCCCCAGGAAGAACAAGCAACCCTCTCTCCTACAACACCTCAGCATCACCAATCAGATGTAGAGGGACCTGCAGAGTGAAGAACCAAGGAGAATTAGATATCCTTCATCCTGACCCCCAGGTCCTATTCTACTCCCAAACCACATGAGACCCAGGGGAGAGAAGAGAGAGGTATATCAAGATTCCTCTTGGATGTGCTACCAGCAGCCAGTGGCCTTCGGGCCTCTGACTTCTCCTGGGAGATCAGGCAACCCCTAGAGTGGGCTCAAAGCAGCAGGGATTATGTGATGGGTGTCCAGAATCCTAGCACCCTTGGTCTTGACCACAGGAGTTAGTGCCCAGCCTTCTTCAGGACCACCCTCCATGGAAGAAGCATCAAGGAGCAGCCCCTGCCCCCAAGGATGAGAAATCTGACTCATGACGTGCCAAGGTACTTCCCAGTCAGGGGTCTCCATGTTCCTCTGTGGCCCTCAGACCATAGCATGACCGGGCTGCTGGTCTTTTCCAGCCTCATAGTCTCTCTCCCTGCCTCAGTCCTTAGGCTGTGGCCTGACCCCTTCATAGCTTGCCAGACACACACACGTGCTTGGGTTAAGCATGAGATTGACACGCAGAGGTGCCAGGATTGTGGGAAGAAGACAGTACTAGCAGGAACAGCAGGTGGTCCTTGAAAGTGTCTAGGAAGCCAGGTGTCTGGGAAGGCAGCTCAGTTGGTAGATTCCTTCCCTAGTATGCTCGAAGCCCTGGGTTCACACTCCAGCACTGCATAAAACCTGACATGCTAGCTGGGCGGTGGTGATACACACCTTTAATCCCAGCATGTGGGAGGCAGAGACAGGTGGATCTCTGTGAGCTGGAGGCCAGCCTGGTCTGTTGTCGGGGTTTTTCTATCCTGCCCAGTTCTCTCAATTGTTAAGTCCCAAAGAAATCGACACAGAAATCTACATTAGTTATAAACTGATTGGCCCATTAGCTCAGGCTTCCTATTAACTCTTATAATGTATATTAGCCCATATTTCTTATCTGTGTTAGCCACATAACTCAGTACCTTTTTCAGTGAGGCAGTCACATTTTGCTTCTTCTGTGGCTGAGCCAGGACTCCAGAGGAATGGGCTTCCTTCTTCCCAGCATTCTCATTGACCCACCTCCACTTCCTGTCTGGTTGTCCCGCCTATACTTCCTGCCTGGCTACTGGCCAATCAGCATTTATTTAAAATATAATTGATAGAATACAGACCATTGTCCCACACCACTGGTCTATGGAATGAGTTCCAGGACAGAAAAAAAAAAAAAAAAACCTGGCATGTTTATGATTCTAGCACTCGAGAAGTAGAAATAAGAGAATCAGAGGTTCAAGCTCATATTCTACTACATATTGAACTCAAGACCAGCACAGACTGCATGAGATCCGATTTCAAAGGAAGGGAGAGAGGGAGGAAGGGTAAAGGAAGAAAAAGAGAAGGGAGGGCTGAAGACATGGCTCAGTGGTTAAGAGCACTGTCTGCTCTTCCAGAGGTCCTGAGTTCAATTCCCAGCAACCACATGGTGGCTCACAACCATCTGTACTGAGATCTGGTGCCCTCCTCTGGCGTGTGGGCATACATCAAGACAGAATGTTGTATACATAATAAATAAATCTTTAAAAAAAAAGAAAGAAAAAGAGAAGGGAAGGGAAGGGAAGGGAAGAGAAGAGAAGAGAAGAGAAGAGAAGAGAAGAGAAGAAAAGAGAAGGGAAGAGAAGGGAAGGGAGGAGGCAGATCAAGACAAAGCATACAAAACTCTAAGCCAGTATGGTGGCACATGCCCATTATCCCAGCACTCTAGAAGTGGAGAAAGGAGGATGACAAGCTAGAGGCTAGCCCAGGCTACATAGCAAGATCTTGTCTAAAAATAAGTTAAGGAACAAGAGACTCAGGAAGAGCTGCTATTTGCCCTGAGACAATGATGCACCAGAGTCCGCTGCTGCCGGGCTACCTGCTCAACATCCCCTGGGCTCCATGTACACTGGATGAAGCCATATGTTTCCCAGGCATGTCATCGATATTCCTGGCCTGTCACAGCTGTCTTCCAAATGGGCCAGGTAAAAGGTTATTACTTCCCTGAGGAAAGGCAGCAAGAGTGGAGCCAGCTGTTGGCAGGTCGGGTCCTAGAGGCCCACACAAAACTGGCCAGGAACCTGCACAGCTGGGTGAGGGGGTTGATGTGTGGCTGGTCTACCAGGGACCTAGCAGGTGATCTCATTTCCTTACCTGCCTTCTTTCACCACTTCCTTCCGTCTATCCCAAGCTTGGTCTGAGTGACATACTTCTGGGTGCTTGGTGCATATTGGCAAGCTAATTTTATCAAGAGGCTTGCCGGCAGCAGCAGAAATTTCAGCAACCTGAATTCCGGAATCCTATTGATGTGAGTACTGCCCACTAGGGGCTAACAGAATGAGTCGACGGTCAGCAGAGAACAGGCCCAAACCTTGGTGTTTGTTTTGTTTTGTTTTGGTCTTCTCTCACTATGTTGGGGGTTGAACTTTAGGGTCCACATTTGCTAGTGAAGCATTTTACCCTAAAACCATACCCCCCAGCTTTTTTTTTTTTTTTCAGTTTTTATTTGAAGAGGGGATCTTGCTACATTGCCCAACCGGCCTTGAACCTGCAATTCTTCTGCTTCCACTGGCCTCAGTTTGCAATGAGAGAGGAGCAGCACCATGACCTAGGCTCTCAATCTTCCTGCACTTAAACAAAACCTTTCAGTTACATTCTAAAATGTATCGGGGGGGGGGGGCAGTAACGCATATGTGACAAGACATGCTTCTGGAGGTCAAAGGGCAGCCTTCGCCAGTTGCTCTCCCTTTTCACTATGTGGATTCCAGGGGTCAAATGCAAGTCATCAAACTTGGCAACAGTCACCTTGAGCCTTCTCGCTCTCCCCTTGCCCTTTTTTATTTTGAGACTGAGTCTCACTAAATGGCCCAGGCTGGCCATGAGCTTGTAATTATCCTGCCTTAATCTCTTAAATAGCTCAAAGTACGGGCCTGAGTCACCAGCCTGGAATATTTTGGTGTGAACTTTTCATGGCTGAATTGGTCCTATGCAATATACTGTTTCAAAGTCTACCTGCTGAAGTTATTGAGCCGAATCGGCCTTCTCTCGTGTACTGGTTTGCCTTGCATATCTGCTAGTTCAACTGTGAACTGAATATGTTCTAAAACACAAGCATAACAAATCAAAACCTAAAAAAAGAAATAAAAGTGTCTGCTCTACACAGGCATGGGCATTTTTTTCCTTGTCATTATTCCCTAAGCAACATGGTCCACTTTTTTTACATAGCATCTGCATTGTACTGGCTCTCATAAGTAATCTAAGAGTGGTACATTTGAATGTGAGAGTTGTGGTGCCCACTTTAATCTCACCCAGTAGCTGTCAGGAAGATCTCAAATTGAAGATCTACCCGGACTGCACAGTGAGTTTGGGGTTGGACTGAATAACTTGGTGAGACCCTGTCTGAAACAAAAATAAGATGCTGGGGACACAGCAGGGGTATATGGTAGAAGGGAAGCGTACCTGGCAGATGCAAGGCCTGAGGGTCTCTGCCAGTGCAAAAGAAGAGTGGAGGATGCATGCAGGTAATGTCTGAATGCTACCCTGTTTTATGTAAGAGACCTGGGCATCCTGGAGTAGTGGCATCTTGCGGGGGCCAGGGTTTCTGGAACTCATCCCTCAAACACACCACAGGAGTGTTTTACTTTAGACGACAGCGTAGATAATGAGTCTTCCAGGATTGAAAGTGTTTTATATGGGCTAAATGAAGTAGAACACACCTGTAATCCTAGCACTCAGGAGGCTGAGGCAGAAGGGTAGAGACCACATCTCACAAAAGTAAAATAATCCCCTTAATCCTAACTACAATCTTGTAGTAATCTTAGTACTGTCCTTTTTTTTAAAGATTTATTTAATTTTATTTTATGTGCACTGTGGTTTTGTGTGTGCATATGTGTGTATGAGGGTGCCAGATGCCCTGGAACTGGAATTACAGTTGTGAACTCCATGTGGGTGCTGGGAATTGAACCTGGGTCCTCTGGAAGAGCAGTCAATGCTCCTAACCACTGAACATCTCCCCAGCCCCTCAGTACTATTCTTATGTGGATTTTGCACATAAAGAAAAAGTGGTTCCCAGAAGCTGGTAATTTACCCGAGGTCACACAGTGACAGAGCTAAGGTTTAAACCCAGACAGCCTAGCTAGGATTCACCATGTTAAGCTGGCTGGTGCTCCAGAAGCTTCTAAAGCACGTTATTACCAACCCTGGAACACGTGCTTTCTGTCGCTGTCCTGTCTCCTCTCCCTGCTTCCTTTCCAGTAGTGTGGGAGTGAGACTATCATCAACAAGGCCTTAAGAGACTCCATCTGTCAACAAGGTTTTGTGTATCTTAGATGGTCTCTCAGATTAAATTTCTCAGTCAAAGGACATAGGCAAATTTTCAGGTTCTTGCTCCATGTTGTCTCAGTTGAGGAGACATGGTGTCATTTCCATGTTTGCTATCTAGATAGCCAATAGTGAGAGTGTGGCAGACAGGAGATGCTTCCACAGCTTCCAAGACCCCAAGGTATGGTATACAAGCCACATCAGCACATAGGACTTTCTAGAAGATTTCTAGTGTGATTCCCAGGCCCCTGGCCATCCAAGGATTGTGCTGGGATGTGTTGGGAGACTGTCTCTGGAGACGATGCCTTGCTATGAATCCTCACCCCCTACTTCTTCCCTGCAAGCTCATGGGAGTCGTGTGTGTGTGTGTGTGTGTTATGTATACATGTGTGTGTTATGTATACATGTGTGTTTTATGTATACATGTGTGTGTGTGTGCATGAATGAGTGTGAGCCTGTGCCATGGTGCACAGTTAGAAGTCTGAAAACAACCTCAGGTGTCAGTCTTCCCCTTACACCTTTTCTGAGAGGGGCTCCTCGTGTTGGCTTTTCCTGCTGCACACACCTTCTGAGCCGGCCCATGAGCTTCCCTGAGTCTCCTGTTTCTGCCTCGCATCTCACTGTGGTAGCTCGGGGATTGTGGACGCCTGCTGCCACACCCAGCCTTACCTGGACTCTGGGCATTTAAATTCAGATCCTCATGTTTGTGTGGCAAGCACTTTACCTACTGAACCGCTCCCCAGATTCCCATGGGAATCATTTTGTTTGTTTATTTGTTTGTTTTTTGTTTTTGTTTTTCAAAACAGGGTTTCTCTGTGAAACTTTGAAGCCCGTCACGGAACTCGCTCAGCAGACCAGGCTGGCCTTGAACTCAAAGAGATCCACCTGCCTCTACCTCCCGTGAGCTGCTGGGATTAAAGGCGTGCACCACCACCACCTGGCTTGGGAATCGTGCTGAAAGAAACAGAACAAAATTGCCCACCACGGAGAAGCTTGTCCACCCCCGAGCCTGATTCCAGCCAATGGGATACGGTAGCCTAATATTGTGGATGGTTAGCAGACTGTAGCCAAGTAGGTTATATCCAACATACCAGAAGATTCCCCGGTTGGGGTCCTATAGGCAGTAGTCACCTTGAGCCTGTCTCAAGCCTTCCTTAGAGGAGCATGGAGCCTAATCAGTGATGATTGGGCAGTGGTCTCCGTAGTCCTGAGGACAGAGGAAAAGCCACAAGAGTGGGAAATGTGGATAAGGATTCCGAGCACTCACTGAATGGACTTTGGAAGAAATCGTGCCCTCCAATGTCTTGCAGACCTACAGAACTGGAGACGATAGGCCAGAGAAAGACATGCCCCTTACCTTCTGACCTCCCAACACAGAACCCCCTAGATGGCCAGTTCTCAAAGGTAAGTCAGGATGCCAGGACTCCCACCTGACCTGCCAGTGAAGATGGAACCATCTCTTCCCATCTAGTCCAGCACTTGCCCCTACAGCTCCAAATATCAGGCCCCATCTCCCCTTCCTGGCTGATCACACACAGGTCGACCTTTACAGTGATGATTAGGTCTTTTCCAGGGAACCCTCCAGTTCAATCACTACCCTCATCTCACCGAGACCTTTCTCATGGTTGCCTTTAGGTCGAGATTCCAGCTGCAATGTGAGACCAAGGGTACTCATCACACCGACTTCCTGTCCCTGTCAGTCTGACACTCTATAACAATCCTGCCTGGGAAAGCTTGGCAGAAAGCCACACGTACAAGAATCTTCACGAAGTATGAGCAATCAGGAAGGCCAAGGGCTCTTAAACCCACAGGGTGGATATCCAGGGGCTGAGGGACCCATTAACGCTAGGGTTCCACTCCAGTCTTGGCACTTACTCAATTGTGAAGTTTGACTTGCGCTGGCCAAACTTTAAGCCGTTGCCAAATGAACAAACTGGGCAGGGATTGCATGCAAGCCCGTCTGGTTGAAGAGTCAAAACCATACAGTAATGACCTGTCACCCCAAGGAGGAGGGACAAGGCTCCACAGCTGGTAAGAGGCTGGCTGTACCTCCTCCAGCCCAGCCCCCGGTGACAAGAGTCAAGGAGATAAAAGCAGATCTTTCTGGAGCTCGCACACTACAGTCCCAAGTCCCTTCTGACCCTATAAGGGCTGGCATTGCCGCAGCCCATTGCAGAAGCTGGCTGGAGCATGAAGTGGATCCTGGGCTTGAGCCTTGTCCTGTGCCTGGTAGTCTCGATGGCCTTAGGTAAGACCTTCATCGCTCTAGGGGTGCCCGTCCCTGCTCAGCCTCTTCTGGACAGGGGCGCTTAGACAAGGTCTAAGGAGATGGAGGGCAATGTTTCAGAGCGCTCCTGTGCGACCAGCTAGAAGTCTGAGCAAATCATTTGTCCCCTCTGAGCCCCATGACTGCTCTGCGAAGTGGATTCTGTGTCTCCTACCTCCTGGCATCAGTGAGGGACCTGAGAGCATGGCAGGTCCACGTCCCTCCTTCTGGCCTTTCCTCGCTCCTTCCTGCCTTCTGTCTTCCAAGCCGGAGTCCTGCTTCTGCCTCCCCCTGTCCTGCATGGCCTCTTTCCTGTCTGTACCTTTCACCTCACTGTCCTCCTTTCTGTCTGTCCTCCTTTCTGTCGTCCTCTGAACTCTGACAACAGTGCCGCACATTAACAACCATTAATTGAGGTATTGGATAAACATACAGCAGGACGTACATATCTAAACTGTACGATTATTATACATAACTACAAAAATAGTTATATATGATGTCACCACTGTTCTGATCAAAATCTAGAATATTGCCAGTATCCTATGTGCCATTCCCTAGTCAACATCTTCAAAGGGATCACTGTTCTGACCTCTATTGTTAGTTGATTTTTGCATAAATAATTACATAAGGGCTTTTTTTTGGTAGTGGTGGGTTTTCTGAGAAGTTTTGATAAAACTGATTTAGCATTTTGTGATATTATCTCTTCTTGATATATGCACATAGCTGTGATATTAGCATGTACGTGATTTATTTTTAAGATTTTTTTAAATTGTACTTCTGTGTGTGTGTATGTATGTGTTTGTGTGTGTGCCTGTGTGTATGTGTGTGTGTGTGTGTGTATTCTTGCCCGTGTATGCCACAGCACACTTGTGGAGGCCAGAAGACAAATTACAAGAGTCTGTCTTCGCCTTCTACCAAGTGAATTCCAGAGACCAGACTCAAGTCCCTAGGCTTAGCAGCAAGCACCTTTGTCCATGGAACCTTCTTGCTGGCCCCACAGTTTTATACTCTGCTTACTTTTTTCACTTAAGTTCTTACTAAGGAAGGCAGTTTATACCTTAAGTTTGTATTTACTTTGCTTAGCTCATAGCTGTGAAAGAGGCTCCAACATCCACTGAAGTTCAGATCAGTCTTTGCTTTAACGAAGCGGCACATCAGACGCTGGGGCTGTCACAGATCCTGGTCAGAATAGGATGTGTGTGCATCATGTAGAATTGGACAAGTGAAATCTGAGCGTTTTCCTGCATGCTAATGTGCCATGTTTTCATAATTCAAATAATAGTGATTTTTCAAAAAATACATTTAGTTTTAAAGTGAAGTTGCTTAATGAAAGCATATGAACACTTTACGGCTCCTTGTATATTTTACCAAGTTGTTTTTCCAAGGTGTTATGTCAATTTGTCCTCCACGAACAACACCTGTGAATGTCCTTTTCGCTGTATCAGCTCCAGAATTCATTAATCATTTGTGCCATTAACCACTAATTTTTCATGTGTCATCTGTAATTCTGGGCCTTAATACCACTTTATGGATACTAGTAAGGAGGCACATTGGCGATTTAAAACAATTTTTAACTTAAAAATAATTCTGTGTGTGAGTGTCCATGAGAATGTGGGTCTAGGTATGCACACATGTGCACCCACAGAGACCAAAGGCACCTCATGTCCTGGAGGTACACTTAAATAAGGTGATTGTGAACCCCCTGGGATAGATCCTGGGTACAGAACTCAGGTCCCTCTGCAAGAACAGTGAGTGCTCTTAATCACTGAGCTCTCTTTCCAGCCCCAGGAATTCTGATTTTTATTTAGTAGAGACGATTTTTTTGTTTGTTTGTTTTTGCTTTTTTCCCAGACAAGGTCTCACTATGGAGTTAGGTCCCAAACCTGTGTGTGTGTGTGTGTATGTGTGTGTGGTGTATGTGTGTGTATGTATGTGTGTGTATGTGTGTGTGTGTATGTGTGTGTGTGTGTAAATGCAGACTCAGAAGACAATCTCGAGTGGGTGTCAGTTCTTACCTTCCACCTTGTTTGACACAGGGTCTGTTTATTATTTCCTATCCCTGGCTGGTTATGCCAGTCTAGCTAGCCCAAGAGAGTCAAGCGGTTCTCCCATTTCCGCTTCCCATCTCCCTGTGAGAGCAGCTGGATTAGACACCTGTGCTATGCATTCAACTTTTATGTGGGTTCTAAAGAATAAAACTTGGGTCCTTGCTCTTGCACAAAAAACATTTTTATTCACCGAACCATCTCCCAACCTTGAATTTGTGATCCTCCTGCCTCTGCCTCCCAAGCACTGGTTTGGAATATTGGTTTGTTTTTTTTTGTTTTGTTTTGTTTTGTTTTGTTTTGGTTTTTCAAGACAGGGTTTCTCTGTAGTTTTGGTTCCTGTCCTGGAACTAGCTCTTGCAGACCAGGTTGGTCTCGAACTCACAGAGATCCGCCTGCCTCTGCCTCCCGAGTGCTGGGATTAAAGGTGTGCGCCACCACCGCCTGGCTGGAATATTGTTTTTATAAGTGCTTCTTCGCTCCCTATAGATAATAGAGCTGACGTTGGCCTTTCCATACTGCTCTTGTTAGCAGTCTAGAAGAACTCGACCATGTGGTTGTGACTGGCTCCCCAGAGACCAGGAAGTTGACAAGAACCATGGTTCACAGCAGTCATGAGACATTCTCTGTGTGATATGGGACCTTTGGGCTTATTTCCATGTGTCTCTAGAAGGATTTGGGGGCACCAGAGTGATGGGACATACCTATAATCCCAGATTTTATCATGCTGAGGCAAAAGGATCATGCATGTATGTGTGGTATATGTGAACACATGTATACAGATATGCCCATGCAAGCAGAAGACAGAGGATGACATTGGATGTCCTGGTCTATTATTTTCTGCTTTTTTTCCCTTTGAGATGAGGTCTCTCACTGAACCTAAATGTGTCAAATTTTTTTTTGGCGAGGCTAGCTGGCCATCAAGCCCCAGTGAAGATTATGAGTTTGAAGTCAGTTTGGGCTACAATAAATAGCAAGACTTTATCTCAGAAACAAAAATAAAAGCAAAAATCTGCCAGGTGGTGTTGGCACACATTTTTAATCCCAGTACTCAGGAGGCATAGGCAGGGGGATCTCTGCGAGTTTGAGGCTCCAAAGCTACATAGAGAAACTCTGTCTTGAAAAAAAAAAAAAAAACAAACAAAAAAAAATAGTAAAAATCCAGGCATGGTATTATACCCCTTTATTCTCAACACTTGTGAGGCAGAAGACCTAGGAATTTGGTTTAGATTGGATGTTTTAAAAACATGATCTCGTGTATCCCAAACTGGCCTTGAACTCATGTACCAAGGATGATCTTGAACTCTCGATCTTCCTGCCTCAGCCTCCAAAGTGCTGGGGTTTCAGGCGTGTGCTACCTTTCTTGGCTTGGGAATCTATTTTTTTTTTTTTTGCATTAATTCCTAAATGATTCTGATCCATGGCTAGGATAAGTAACCACGTGGATCATGTTTGCTTTCTGTCTCTTTGCTGAATGAACCCCAAGGCACAGGAACAAAGAGCAGTTCCATTTTGATAAGGGAGGAGAGGGAGAACTGACAATGGATGTGAGGCCTCACCAACACTTGGCAGCAGAAGTGGGGCAGGAGAGCCTAGCAGTGGAGGACTCACAGGCCTAGTCTACTTCATCTCTATTCCAAAAGCTGTCTGTGGTGTGAGTATGCTTGCAGTGTGTGTGTGTGTGTGTGTGTGTGTGTGTGTGTAATAAGTGAGTACACATTATAAGTGAATACATTACAAACCACATATAGCTGCACTTGTATGCGTATACATATGCATATTCCCTGTAAGCATGCATTTGTGTGTTTCTCATGTATACCTGTGTCTGTATTAATGTGTAAGGGTGCATTGATGTCAATGTGTATGAGGAAGAATGTGCATAGATTGTTTCAACCATCCCAGGAATGAACCAGGCAGGGGCTGGGGAGGGGACTCAGTCGGTGAAGTCTTTTCTGCGTTAAGTGTGAGGACCTGAGTTTGGATATCAAGACCCATGTGAAAAGCCGTGGGGTGTGGGACTGTAACCACAAAACAGAACTGCTCTTTGTTCCTGCCTTGGGGTTCATTCAGCAAAGAGACAGAAAGCTGAAGGAGAAACAGGTGGGTCCATGGGGCTTGCGAGCCACCCAGTCTAGCCACTCAGTAAATGCAAGGCGCAATGAGAAACGCTGTTTCAGAAAATAAGGTAAAGAACAATTGCAAAAGACACCAAAAATTAGCCGGGCGGTGGTGGCACACGCCTTTAATCCCAGCACTCAGGAGGCAGAGGCAGGTGGATCTCTGTGAGTTATGAGACCAGCCTGGTCTACAGAGCTAGTTCCAGGACAGGCTCCAAAGCCACAGAGAAACTCTGTCTCAAGTCTTGAAAAACCAAATCAAACCAAACCAAAAAAAAAACCCCCCCAAAAAAAAAAAAAAAAAAAAAAAAAAAAAAAACACCAAAAATCAATCCCTGTTCTCCATATGCAGGTATACAAATACCACCAAGATTTACTTGAATGTAAAGACACACATACACACCACACAGGGAAAAAGCAAATGAAAAAGAAACTAATCAAAACCTAATTAAACCAATTATCAACCGGAAAAGAAAAAGGTGCAGCCATGTTCATATCAAACAGAAGTTAAAATAAATGCCCCTTTCAGCCCTGTATGGTGGTCGCAGCCTTAATCACAGCACTCGGGAGACAGAAGCAGGTGGATCTCTGTGAATTCAAGACCAACCTGATCTACACAGGGAGTCCCAGGACAACCAGACTATATAATAGAGAGATCTTACCTCAAAAAAAAAACTAGATAAATGTATCTTTTATTGACATTAAATGACACAAAGAGAAATGGTTTATATAACAGACATGATCTTTTATGTGCCTACCCGGATAGCTTTGAAATCTTAATAATATTAATCCTCATAGACGCACAAGAGAAATAAGACAGATACATAATTGTTCTTTTTAAACTTCTGGGATTTTTATTGTTGTTCTAAGAAGGCTGAGGAGAGGAGATGGCTTAGTGGGTCCACTTGGTGCATTAGCATGAGGACCAGAGTTCAGATCCCCAGAATCCAGGTAAAACACCGAGTGGTTTTGTCAGCCTGCCTGCAATCCCAACCCAGGCCAGACAGACACAGGGAATCCCGGAGCAAACTGTCTAACCAGACTAAACAAAGCAGCAAGCTCTGGGCTTGGTGACAGATCCTGCCTCCGTACAGAGGGTGGGAAACAATCACCTAAGACACTTGATATTAAGAGCACTGGCTGCTCTTCCAAATGAGCCAGACTCAATTCCTAGCTACCACATGGCAGTCCACAGATGTAACTCCAGTTTTAGAGAACCCAGTGCCCTGTTCTGCATGTGGTGCACAGATGTACATGCACACAAACCCTCACAAACATAGGATTTTTAAATATTTGAATAATAATAATTGATTGGTTGCTTTTGTATATATTGCAGCAGCAGCAGCTACCCAGTTCAGGTAGCACACTCCTGTAATCCCAGCATTTGGGAGACTGAGGCAGAAGGATGACGGGTTTAAAGCCATCCTGAGTCACGCAGTGGGACTCTGGAGAGAAGTGGATGAAGAGAAGAAAGAAAGAAGGGGGAGGAAGGGAAGGGAGAACGGGTCCCATGGCAGCTATACTAGAATCGCACCTGTGGCTAACGAGAGAATGACAGTCCCTCTTCTCTTCCCAGGTGCTTTGTACACCAAGGAGCCTCTCGTGGTCACCAGACACGGGATCCTACAAGGAAAGCAAACACATGTGGGAAACATAACCGTCCAAGTCTTCCTGGGAGTCCCCTTCTCCAAACCTCCTGTGGGCACCCGCAGGTTTGCTCCTCCAGAGCCCCCGCAACCCTGGACCGGCTTCAGAGATGCCACCATCTACCCACCTTCGTAAGTGCCGGAGGATAGTGGGCTGGCAGATGAGCAGACCGGATGAGTAGGGTGGGCCAGTGCCTAAAATAACTCACCAGAAATTCCCTGTGGGACCAAAGCAAAGCTCGGACCCAGTCTTGGCCTCAGTTTCCAAGCCTGTGTAATGAGGAAATCAAACCAAATGACATATTGTACTGTGTTTGGTTTCTCATGAGAGAGCTCTAGGCAAGGGGGATTTGGTCACTGGCTTTGCCACAGGGCCTACTGGGAAGATGAACTTCCCCATGCATCCCCACCTCCAGTTCTCATCCACTCCCCCCCCCCCCTGCCTAGGAATGATGGGCTCCGGCTTTGTAGCACACACGGTACTGTCAGCCACGCCCTGCAGAGGGCGCTCCAAGATGGGAACTACAAGGGCTGTTTCAGCTTCGACGTTTCAGTGTCTTGCTGCCACATACAGCCTTGAAATAACAAGACCTAGACTATGATTGCCCTTTGGAGCCCTGGGCTTGGCAGTTCAGCCAAAACAAGTGTATCCACTGTTTATTCAGACTACTAAGTAATCAACTGACCATAATATTGTGTGACAATCATTAACAATGTTTATCTTCAGCTGGTTAAAGCGCAGGGTTTAGAACCTGGGTGCCAACTGATATTTAAAAAAAAAAAAAAAGAAGAAGAAGAAGCCAGGGGGCGGTGGTGCACGCCTTTAATCCCAGCACTCGAGAGGCAGAGTCAGGTGAATCTCTGTGAGTTTGAGACCAACCTGGTCTACAAGATCATTATCTGAAAATTGAAGGCAAGGTTTGGAGGTGAGGATGCCCATATACACACACGACACACACGTGGGTGTTAGTCATTGGAACGCCCTATAAGCTGTCAGAACAAGGGGTGATTTGAACTTAGTCAAGTATAGGAATCTGCGGGTTACTTATATCATTCTATAGGGCAGCAACAAAGGGAGAGAGAAATGGTGGCCTCTGCGAGGAAGCCAGAAGGAAGCGATTGGATTCTAAATTTGTTCCAAAAAAAAGAGCTGATAGCATTTTCTGGAGAATTGGATATGACCCACATAAAAAAAAAGAATTTAATACAGTTACTACATTTCACTAGGGCAACAGCATGTTGAGGGAAAAAGGAGAGAGAGAAAAAATTCATTTGGCTACCAAGCATGATGGCACACAGTGATAATCCCAGTAATTGTGGTGTTGAGGCGGGAAGATCAGAAGTTCAAGGTCAGTCTGAACTATGCAGTGAGTTTGAGGGCACTCTGGGCTATTTAAGACCTCATCTCAAAGAAAAGATAGGAGAACCAGGTGTGATGGCTCATGCCTTTAATCCCAGTACTTGGGGGCCAGAAGGCAGGCAGATCACTACAACTTTGGGACCAGCTTCTCTGACTGACTCTGCCTACTCTCTCTCTCTCTCTCTCTCTCTCTATATATATATATATATATATATATATATATATATATATATATCTTCAGATTTAGCTTCCCTGATATTTCTCTGCTCAGGCCACCAACACGGCAGCTATATTCAACAAGACAAAAAAGACAC